TACTATGATTATTTTATATTATTGTTATATTACTATATTAGTATTTTTATACTTAAATAGTACGGGTATACAAACAAATAACAAATGAAGATTATTGATAAAACTAAACATATTTTGTTCATTTCATTTTTATTTTTATTATTTTATGATAATACCTCCTTATTTATATTTAAGTCTTAAGATTAAACTAAAATGGTCAGTTATATTTAAATGAATATTATACGATTTGGAAAATGTATTAGAAACATTTTTTATAAATAGATAATTGTCAACCTTAGTATAAAGATCACAAGCAGAATAAAAACCATTTTGTGGTAGTATATTTAAGTATTTTATGGATTCTACTATGGATTGTTTAAAATATTTATATTGATATCTCCATAAATAATATATTGTTTACTATTAAAAGTCATAGACGAAGGATATTGATTTATATACAACATAAACAATATAATATAAAATATAGTATAATATAAACTCATTAGTATTATTTAGCGATCTATACGCTGCGTTTAAATGATATAAACATTTGTCCCCAGAAAAAGAAATTTCCAAAAAGCTACATTCCGGTATTACATTTTATATTAWAGCTCGTGACTGTACAAATTATTTATGACTATGATTTGGGTTATTCACTGTTCATCATTGTTTAAAAGTTTTTATTYTTATATTGTGAATAATATATAACACCCAATGGCCCATGTTGCCGCGGGTGCTCCCTAAAAAAATAAAAAACAATTTATTTATTTGACGACAAAGAGTAAAAACTATAATGTGTGATTATATTCATGATTAAGTATAAGATTTACACGTGGACTCAGCGGAGACTTCTGAATTCGAGTAAAGCCAGTATATAGTGACATTGTCTTATAACGCCGTTGTACATGAGAGGCCATTGCCCATTTTGTAACAATATTCTTAAAACTGTGAGCGCGTATTTCGAAACCTGTCATACATTATATTATGCTATAAGAGTTTTTATGGATGTAAATTTATGGTTGTGAATGGTTGGAAATGACTTTGGAAGAAAAAATGTTACGTGATTGATGTGTATATTATTGCATATGCAGGTAATCGTAAACAATTCTAATTTCTAGGTATACGCGTAAAGTGGCGTGTTGTACTATATGTTTGCTGAGGGAAGATTTGAACTCATTAGCCACACATTTTATTAAAACGTATATTTCAACCTGAACTGCTCGCTTCGCTATAGCGTCACTGTATCCCATGCTAAATGTATTGTAGATATTTTTATTTATATCCCCTCAAACATTTTTCATACTTTATTAGAATATTAAAAATTTAGATCCTAAAATATTAATTCCATATAGCATGGACTATACGAGAAATCAGCAATTTCTCAGTGCCCCGGGCATAGGTAAGGGGTAGGGGGCCCTCTACCTCCGTTTTTGGGCAACGATGCTCTTTTTCGACGTTCGACCCAATGACACTTTGACGGTAAAAAATCCATGGGCTTGAGAAGTATGAATTACTGACTACGTCTACACGAGCATAATGTACCTAACTATTATAATATTATACAATTTAAATTAGAAAAGTAATTTAGGTCTGTTTAATAATACTAAATTAATTATTAAGTCTCCGCTCAGAATCGTTTTTTGTACCTATGCGAATGTCTTATCATTGAAYTCAAATCTAACATATCTATAACAATTAAATATTCGACAAAAATTAATAACTTCTGTCAGTAGTTAATATGTATGTAGTGTTAGTATAGTTTATGTAAATACTGTTAGTGCACGGTTACTCATTTCTAACTTTTTATAGGCAGTTAGTTTTTAAATTCTGAGCTGAACAATTAATGGTTCTACTTATGTGTATTTTATTATTTGTTTATTATCATTAATTTTTTTATATTTCAATATTGTGGTTCGTATTTGGTAGAAAATTTGGTCTACTGCTTCTTTGGAATCAAAAATAAAGGTACATTTTGCTTGGCAACAAAAATACGGAATGTTCCACATCTCCGGTATTTGATGATGAAATCAATTAAGTCTTTCAGTAATTTTCAATAAACATATAAATATTTGAATTTTCGATACATGATATAATTTTTTTAATATTTATACCGATGATGATATGTATTTGTTTAATATTTTGACACCAGGTATTGATTTGTAAAAGTTAAATGCGGYGTGTTTATCAAAATATCGAATTAATAAAATTCTCTTAAAAATATAAATATAATAGAACTTAAGCTTTCTTAAAAATAGATTATGATTCATCTGTCRCATTCGCTTAGAATCGTTTATCGTATAGGTACAATATATTTTTATGGTTTTTATTTTTGATGGCACTTATTTAAGATGTTATAAGTACACATTTTAAAATGTTTTATTGCATTAAATCTTGAGTTCCGCTATTATTATATATGCGTATATTATTAGTTATTGCAATAATATTAAATATATATTTTTAAATAGTTTTGTTACAACTCTAAARCACAAACATGATTCATTAATCCACTTCAAGTCCAAAACATTTGATGGATATAGGTTAGACTGCAGAGGTTTCATTGTTTCAATAAGAATTTGAATCTTACTAAAAACAAAAAATGTAGATACAGTGCGTTTTATTGCCGTTAATGTAAATCATTACTAYAATATACATCCATAAAATTATTCTATAGATAGGTTATAATATTGGTATAATTATATGRGTAGATGTTTAGTGTGGTATATTATATACTAAAACTGCAGCTTTAGTATGTTATAAATTTATAATAATATGATTGTGGAAAATAAGATGGTGTTATGTAAACCCACTATTATTATTATTATTACTGTTATTACAAAATCGTAATTAACGATATACCTATACATTGCGTTTTACTCAAGCCTATTTGTAAAGTGTATATACATATTACATATATATATATATATATATCGTAGGGAAAACGAGTGTTAATAATGATATTATGATGTGTGATCATAATTTTTTCTCAGATCGAAAAAAATTACGTGGAATCATAACATACCGTGTTTGCGTTGTTCACGTTATGATATTGTATCAATCAGGAAAACGGATGGAACAATTAATCAATATTGTCTAGCCAATATCACCGGTGGTAGGGCACGACTCCGAGGACGTCAGCTCCGGACTTATGGTCATTTCGAAAAACCGACGCGTATAAAAGATGTGCACAAACGTCCGATACGATTGAGTTTGAGTTCCACAGAGTTGCCGAACGATTATCGTTACGCATAGAATAGACGAAGATAGTTCGAATCCTGCGACGTGTGATATACGATATTACTTTAAACAAAATAACTATATACACAACGAAAATGATGCGTCTTTCGTCTGCCGTAAGTTTATATATATTTAAGATGTATTTTCCTGCAGGATACTTATACATAGATACCTACTTATGGTACGGTGCAGGGTATGTATTCGCTAAATCAGTAGTAACTATGTGATCCATGAGCGGCGACGATAACTGGGAGCTTTGGTGATGGGTATTGTCGCAACATATGTTGAAACTAATAACTATACCAACTATATTCACTTTTTGATCGAACGAGGTACTGAAGTMGAAAATCAAAACACTTTTACTGCCCCAAAACTTGATGACAAACRCAAAAAAAAMACACACACATCATGGTAAAATCAATACATTCCTCGCTCCGCTCGGAATCTAAAAATTAAGAAATAATCAGAAAATTCTTAAAAATCCCTTAAAAAAAGTTATTCTTTTCAAGTAAGCGTTATATTGAGAGAGTTACTTATATAATTCAAGCTGTATCGAAATATTTTTCAAAATAAACAAAAAATAGATAAATATTAGTATAACAAATGGAATCTAAAATTCTAACCTAGCTATTATATAGTGCATAGGATTAGCACTTAGCAGCTATTCTGCGTGTTTTCCATAAGGATGTTTCGTGGGCCGTGGTCAATYGCGTATACCTATTAAACGACATTCCATCAAACGAAAATAAAATAAAGAAAAACAATTTTGTATCATTAACCACACAATGCTTATTTATATTTGTATTTTTTTTATGTAGATCGCAGTCTTGATGGTCGTGATTGCAGCAGCGTCTGCCGGCATTTATCCGACGACGATGGGCAACAAAGGTGCCTCTGTGGGGCGCTCAAAAACTGGCATAAATCGTGATACTTCTGGTGATACTTACCACATACAGTCGTCTGATGGCCAATATGTATTTGGACACGCCAATGGCGAACAAGTGAGGATTTAAAATAATAATATWATATTATAGTTAAATGAAGTACTTACCTATTTAGACTCTAGAGATTGTTAAATTTTAAATAATACAATTCTCATAACTTATTTAAGAAAATATACGTATAAAGGTGTACCTATAATTTATCGCATCAGTGCAAAACACAAACTTTTGATAAAACGAGTTTGTTCAAATAAAATCGTTAAGTAYCTGTTGTGAATTATCTGGTTTAAATATTTATTCATAATATATTTCTAGAGAATTATACCCTCCCCCTCAAATCATATTAACTTCTACCTATTTAAGACTGTCATATCTATATAGTAATTTTAACCTCTGTTATTACTTATTAGTGTAAATTGAATAAAAACTCTCTCCSAGATTCTGTCTATATCTGAGACCTGACATAAGCATAGTATGAGATAGCACCGTTTTTTAGATAGGAAATAAGTATAATTTTGTGGAAATCAATCGAAAACCAACAAGACACATAAATATATGTATAAAAAATTACTTCATATTACGAAATAGTTTTCGAAGATAACCTGTATTTTTGTGTCATCGATGTTAAATATAAACAGATCAATATTTCACCATTTTTGCCATAATTTATATTTAAACAGCTCTTTTTATTAAATATAATTTTTCTTTTTCTTCATCTTTTGGCCCAAAATACTCCTATATTTAAATACTACAGTGGATATATTATATTATATATATATATATATATATTTGAATCATTTTTTTTTTTTTATTCATTATTTATTTTAAGACATGGGAACGCGATGATCGAAAAAAAAATGCTTTTGCTCTGTTCTTTAGGATTGATGTTAAACTTATTCTTTTCTAAGAACWAGAACTATCGTATTAAATTTAAAAAGACCATAAGTAAAAATGTACATAAAAAGTTGTTAATTTAAGTTTTACAAATAATAATAAATACGATACTTTAAAAAATAAAAATGATAATCGTCAATAATCACGTCATAATATTGATTTAGTATTGTAACAAGTTTTTCAATATAATTATCAATTACAACGTCGTATAGTCGTATTTGTAACTAAAACTTTTAATTATACGAATTTAAATGAATAATTATACAATATATGTATAAATGCGTACACTTGAAGTATAATAATATTCCTCCTTAGTGTTAGTATACCTAGAAATCGCAAATAAAGTCGATCAAACTACATGATAATATGTAGATTATTCTTCCACAACAACAACAGCGCTAAGACTTTGGATCTAAAATATTATGGAATCGGTCGAAGCCGGGACGTGTTTTTGGCGGCAATCGGTTRAAGTCGACCAACAGTGATAACAGCGCGGAAATAATGTTCACAGGGCAGAGCCGAGATGCGCGACAGCGACGGCACGGTGACCGGATATTACAGTTACTCGGACCGCGACGGTCGAGTGGTTCGCGTGGATTACGTGGCGGACAAGGGCGGATACAGAGTGATATCGAACGCCGGCGTGCAGTCCGCTTCGGTGACCGTACAGGCAGATGGCGGTGGTACTCCCGCTGCTGAAAGCGATTTCCGAAAACTGTACTCAGATCTGACCCGCCGCATCAAAGTAAGTGTGAAAGATGACTAGAATTTGGAAGCCGCTGTAGGAGCCAAAGCTGGATACTAATTATAGTTAGATGTTGGTGTAGGTCAAAACTTACATCGAAACGAACTTTCTAACATAACTATAGGTAGTTGGTTTTTATAATTTATAATTAYTTTCTCATTAAACACGCTAAATTGAATGCGCAACTAATATAATCTAACGTGTTAAACTCAAAAAGTAACTAATTATTTTTTAACTGTAAAAGCCCAATATTCCAATGCCAAATCGTWAGATGTATAACTACTAAGTTCCGACTGGATAATACCTGATCAATAATTAATATTTATTATTTTATATTTTATAATAAAGGATACATTACTTCTTAATATATTGTTTCTAATAATTTTTTTTTAATTTTTGCAATGCACGATATAAACCGTGGCTACATATTATGTAAATAGTTAGTAAGTGCCTAACTTAATTATATCCAAATATTCACCTAATACATAATTTGAACAAAAGAGGTTTTTAAATTTATATTTTAAATTAAACGAAATGACTAATTTCTAACTTTTTCAGACACTAACTTATATTCTAACCTAATAAGTTATTATTTTTATAGTAAATTATAGTAAACTAACTGTAACAAGTTGAAMAAATTGACCGATTTGCACAGCTTTAATTCAGGTCCTATATGATTAAAGCCCATTGSAGCTATATGTAAAAATTAATAAACAATTAAAACTTAATCTTATGGTAACTTCTAGGGAAGCATATGGAGGATATGGTATAGACCGGGGGCTCTCAAACTTATTTTTCGCGGACCACTAGTATATTATCAATAAGTCTGTACTGGTGGTACGCACTACGCACACCACAGTTTGAGAACCTCTGGTATAAACAGTTTTTGTTCACCTCGCATATTAACATATTTATACCCTTACAGAACACAGTCGTGCAACGAGGTCAAAAAGTGATGGATCCCATTRATTTAGGTCAACAACCAGTCGTCGTGGATCCGATTTTGTACCCTACCGAAGAGGTAAGTGCGTATTTTAACAGTTATAATATATAATAATACCCACGTGGTGACTGGTAAACGGAACGATTAGGTTTTGTGGATTTCCGAATTCTTATCGTGCAATGTAACTGCTTAGTTTAATATACTTACGCTTCCAATTGCAATAATTTAATTTTGTTTAAACGCTGTCAATAATAATCGTTACAGTTGAATTATGATTTTAAAAACTATTCGTTTTGCTTGTTTGGTTTTGAATCGTTTGCGATTCAGCTCAATTGTCGACTGTCTTTAAGTCTAAATCGTTAAATTATGATAGATTGCATTATTTATCCACCGAAATACTCAAATTTCATATTTTTTTTTTTTTTGCTGTGAATAGCGGGCAACTCCATTGTGTGATTTTCTTTTCACTATTCATTGGTAGTTTGTTTGTTATTTTTATAATGTATTCAGCATAATATGTACTACGTAAGATAAGAATTTAAGCAATTGCAAACAACAAATATAATTGTATTTATGTAAATGTATTACTCATTATTATAGACAAAACATGAAGAAAAAAACCATTTCCCGGATTGGAATCAAGTGAAAATGTCTACCACCCGAAAGCCAACGGTGAGTAAATTAAACTGCAATTCAAATTACTCTGGAGAAATTGTATATCTAGACAAACGAAAATAAAACTTTAACGTTTATTTATTTTGTTACCAATCAGGATGGAATTGAACAWGGTGAAGGACAACAACAACAACAATTAACTGCAGATCCTAATGTGGATAGTGTAAAGATTACAACTCAAAAATCAAATGTAAATATCAACATGTATCTATAATATAATAGTGTTRGCGTATAATAGTAACGATGCTATAAATTATTTTTATAAATAAATAAGCTTTAAATTTAAAAGTACGTATATTATTCTAAAAAATACGTGATTTGGAATTTTACATTAGTATTAAATTGTTCGAAAAAATATATATATAGATATAATGTAATAATTGAGCTATTAATTATATTTTACATAGATCTTGATATTAGAAAATTATAAAATAATAAGTAAATTATCTAATATAACTAATTTACCATGGTAATTATGTCGTTTTATTGCAAAGAGTAAGATTACTAAGAGGTAAGGCTCCAAAAATAGTCTTGCATATGGAATAATATATAGATTATGTTCTCTGACATAATAGTTTTTGTAATTTAATTAAGTAATGCAATTTAACTTTTACTATTTTTAAGCAGATTAAGGGAAATGATAACGATGGCCAAGAATCTATTGATGATTTGAAGAGTAGAATGATCACTACAGAAATGCCTTCAGTACCATTAGCTCCGATTCAGACTCAAGTAATAGCAATAATCTCATTTCATCTTATCTTTAGTTTTTAATTT